AAGGAGCTTACATATTAGTAGAATGAAACAGACATTAAGTACTTTAATAAACAATTTAATTGTGTCCATGTAATACGAGTTAAATAAACAATAAGATAAAATAGGGAGGGGAACAACATTTGTGGGGGTCTTTCTTAAATACCTTAAATAGGAAACTTGATGAAAGAATGAATCAGCTAAAATCTGGAAGAAGTGTATTCTGTTGGCAGGTTGACCAAAAGTACAAAGAAACAGAGGCAGAAATGGGCCTGAAGTATGAGGGCAATGGCCCTTCAATGTGAGCAGACATCAGAACCTTGCAGAAGGCTTGTAACATCTCAGATTCTTGAGTTCAGTCCGTAGTCAGTAGGTATGGGTAGGGTCTGACCATTTGCATTTCTAATAAATGCACAGGTATTGCAGATGCTGTTGTTTTGGGGACCACATTTCAAGCACTGTGTTAGAAAGGACCAAAGAGGAGGAAGAGATGGCTTGGGGCACTGTGAGTTGGGGCTAGTAGTACATGAATCTAGAGAAGGAGGCAAGGGTGGCCTCAGTGATGTAGGCCTTGAGCACAATTTTACTCTTAAAGTGATAAGTTATTGCAAGGTCCTCCTGGTCCTTGGTGAGCCATGCACAGACGATTACAATATAATCAGTTTTGGAGGAGTCTCTGATTCTGTATGCACTGTCTTCTAAACGAAAGTGAAACAAGTTTAGTCAAATTTGGAAATGACCTATAATTCCTTCAGTTTTTGACTCCTAACAACTTTTGACAATTTGGACAGGTAGCTCACTGTACAGAACACAGACATTCTCCCAAGCTCAGCTTTTGGAAATATGAAACCTAGATAAGTCAGCATTGGCTATAGTTCAGCACATTTCAACATTTATGGAAACACTTGCTCTGCATCTGGCCCAGTAGATTTAATGCACAGAGCACATTATCAGAACATATCACATGATTTCTAACAGCACACATCATTCAATCTTTTGAAGAAAGATAAATGTAAGAAGTATGTATCAATTAGGAGTAACCCCAGATATCATAACAAATGTGTGATCATAACAAATGTGTGTCATGATAAATTATGGATAACATCATGAAGAGTGGGAATTTCAGAACACAAGATTGTGCTCGTGAGGAACTGCTACATAGACCAACAGACTATTGTACGAACGGAACAAGGGGACACTGCATGTTTTAAAGTCAGGAAGGGTGTGTGTCAGAGGTGTATCCTTTCACCATACTTTTTCAATCTGTATACTAAACAAATAATCCAAGAAGCTGGACTATATTAAGAAGAACACAGAATCTTGATTGGAGGAAGACTTGTGAAGAACCTGTAATGTGCAGTTAACACTACCATCCTTGCTGAAAGTGAAGATGATTTGAAGTACTTACTGATGAAGATCAAAGACGACAGTCTTCAGTATGGATTACACTTCAACATAAAGAAAATGAAAATCCTCACCGCTACACCAATAAGCAACATCACAATGAATGAAGTTGTTAAATATTTCATTTGATTTGGATCCATAATCAGCACCTATGGAAGCAGCAGTCAAGAAATCAGATGTCATATTACACTGGAAATCTGCTATGAGGGACCTCTGTAAAGTGTAAAAGAGCAAAGATGTCACTTTGAAGACTAAGATGCTCTTGACCTTGGTATTTTGGTATTTTCAATCCCCTCATATGCTTGTGAAAGCTGGACAATGAATAATGAAGGCCCAAGAAGAATTGATGCTTTTGAATTGTGGTGCTGGTGAAGAATACTGAAAATATCTTGAACTGCCAGAAAAACAAACATATCTGTCCTGGAAGACGTGTAGCTGGAATGCTCTTTAGAAGCAAGAATGACTAGACTTCATCTCACCTACTTTGGTCATGTTGTCAGAAGAAATAAGTCCCAGGAGAAGGATATCATGTTTGGCAAAGTGGAGTTTCAGTGGGAAATGGGAAGACCCTCAATGAGATAGATTGACACAGTGACTGGAGTTATAAGCTCGAGTACAGAAAGGAGTGTGAGGATGACATACGACCATGCAGTGTTCTGTTCTGTTGTACATAGGGTCACTATGAGTTGGAATCAACTTGACACCACCTAACAACAGCATAGGCAGAAGCCAGTGTAATGTGTAATAAAGTGCTAAATTAAATATTATCAGATGCAAAAAGTAAGGTTGGAGATAATAAATGCATGGCCACTAAGAGGAGAGAACTGTTGTTTGAAGTTACTAGTGAGGACTTCATATAAGAGAAGTTTGACCTGGTCCCTGAAAAATGGTAAAAATTTGGCTAATTAGAAGGGATGAGAATAACACAGTAAAAGTCTTTGTCTTCAAATTCAATCAACATGCAAAAAGTCATTGTATTTTCCCACAGTTTTTACTGTTCTGCTGCCTTTCAAGGGAAAACTGTCCATATGTTTCTAATTCGTGAGTACGATTGAATTACTAGCCCATTGTCTGGTGAGAGCTGTTTGGTCAGGGAGCCCCGTGGACTTCTCAGAAGCTTTTATGCTTTGAAAGAAGCTGTCCTGATTTGCCATTGTTAATGAAACTTGTTCCACACAATGCTCCAGTTTAAGACCCACTGAGAACATGACCATGTACTTCTTTTCATCTCTATATGGGGGAACCACATGGCAAATAGGAGCTGCAGAAACCCAGCAGCAGTGCTGTTCCTTCAGCATCAGTAATTGTCTTGAATGTTCCTATGTCATCTCTTAATAGGATTGTATTAAAAGTGATAGTCTGTACTGTTTCCACCCTTCATACATAAATGCAAAATGTCGTGTCACTCTGAAGATCCTTTTGTAATTGTACATCTCCTCTGAACGTGTGTCCTTAGGACCCGGCATGTTTACATTTCAATATTGTGTACTTGTATATGGCTTAGCTTCCAAAAGCAAAACTCACTGCCGTCAAGTCAGATCCAACTCATAGTGACCCCTCCTTGTGTTTCTGACGCAGTAACACTATGAAAGTATATTGCCCAATCTTCCTTCCGAGGAGTGGCAGGTGGGTTTGAACTGCCAGACTTCTGGTTAGCAGTCAAATGCCTCAAGTACTACGCCATTGTGAAATAAACATTTATTACAATGGATTAATTTTCTCCTCTGTCAAATGCCTGTTTGCATCGGATCTCTGACTAATACATTTGATGTATCAAAAGGCTTACCTGTTTTGCTGAGTCTTTCCAAGAAATTCATGGAATTATTCTGAATATTAAGATGTATCCTCTGGGTGAAAATAATGCCAAAGATGTAGATTTATCTTTAGCCCAAGATTTGAAAAGAAAATAGGAGTAAAAAGGAAATAATGATTAGAGAGAGGTTCAGGCTGACCTAATGAGAGATTTTTGTGACAAAGTCTAACCAGGGCTTTGAACTGGGTCAACCTGGTTTCAGCCCCTGCTGAGAATTTACATTTCTACCCCAGATATACTGAATCAGAATCTACATTTTAACAAGACCTTTAGGTGATTCTTAAAAATCTGAAAATCACCTTGGGGTCTTACTAAAATATAGCTCTGATTCAGTATATTTGGGGTAGAAATGCAAATTCTCAGCAGGGGGTCAAAGTGAAATGAGCTGCTTCTAAGCCCTGACTCTAACTTTTATAATTCAGTTGCCCATTTATATCATTTTGAGGATAAAAGATTTTGAGTATGCCTTCTTCAAATAGCTATATTTATTATATATATACCATTATATATTTTTAGCTTATATATTATTTCCATATAAAGGAATCAGAAATAAAAATAATAAAGTATAAAATAAGAAATATGAATATAATTTCTAGTGTCTTCTTCCCATACCTGAAACAACTCTCCTTCGCATCCTCTGGTGTGCACACATTGTTTTAGAGAGCTCTTCTGAAATGCGCAAAGCAGCAGTGTGGTGTAGGGCAATAGTTTTCCAACTTTAAGATGCATAAATATCACCTGGAGTTTTGTGAAAACACAAATTTCTGGGCTCCACTCCCAGAGTTTGGGATTCACTAAGTCTGGTAGAAGGCCTAGGAATCGTAATCTCTAACAAATTCCTAGGTGCTCCTGGTCTGGGGACTATACTTGGAGAATTACTGATACAATTGTTTAGTGCATGGGTCTCAGCTTTAGTCTATTTGCATTTGACACCAAGATCCTTTAACTACCAATTGTGTGACCTCCGGTAAATTATTTTACTTCTCTGAGCTCAGTTTTCTTATCTGCCAAAATTTAGCTTTTAGACGGTCTTAATTAGAGTATGCAGACAAAAGGCTTGTACCCAGTGCCCACTAACTAAAAACATCAGTACAAGTTGTAAATCATCATCATCACTGTCATCTGTCTTTTTAATGTCACAAAGTAGACTTTAGAGACTTAGTTTCAGGTTAAAAAATTCTGCCTTTTTCCATAAGAATCGCAGGGAAGCATTTTTCTGCCTTAGCATTACACGTTTAGAAAGAACTGTTCCATATGAGATCTCTATCCCGTTGAATGGTAGAGATGAAGCTCTTTTGCAAAGTCCAACTAGAAGAGAACATTGTGTTCAGCCCTCTCCCTTTTGTGTGTAACAGTTAATAGTTTGTGGCTAAGTGTTTATTTTCTGTTGTCTTTGGTATATGCTGGATTTCTATTGCATGATAGAGGTGAAAGTTTTGGTGGTTGTGTCTTCTAATGTTTTGGGGCATGAGAATGATAAATTCAGGCAATTGCTTTGTATTTAAGGGGTACTAATGGTACAGGAGCCCTGGTGGTGCAGTGGTTAAAGTACTTAGCTGCTAACTGTAAGGTCAGCAGTTCAAACCCACCAGTACTCCAAGGGAGAAAGATGTGACTGTCTGCTTCCATAAAGATTATACCCTTGGAAGCCCTATGGGGCAGTTATACTCTGTCCTATAGGGTTGCTGGGATTTGGAATCAACTGGACGGAATTGGGTTTGGTTTTGATTTGAATTTGTTTAGCTTTTTTTTTCTTTTTTTTACAATTCTCCCCTTTTTTTTTCTCTTTCTTCTTGTGCATTGTCAGGACCCAGTACCACCTGCCAGGAAGATTCATGTGCGAACCAGGGAGTCTGCATGCAGCAGTGGGAAGGCTTCACCTGTGACTGTTCCATGACTTCTTACTCTGGGAACCAGTGCAATGATCGTGAGTACAAGCTTTTCATATTTTAAATTGTTTCAAGCTCAGAGGTTTGGAGAAAACTTAAGTGACAATATGTAAGAGGATGACTGTTCTGAAACATTCATAAATAATCTTCTAAGAAGTTGGAGAATAAAGGACTAGAATTCTTACAGGAAGAGCAGAGATGTTTCTTGCTCAACCATACTTGGTATCTCTCATCCTCCTTGCCTCCTATGTTTTTCCTTAAGATAAAATACCTATGACTGATAGAGGGAAAAAAATTGGCAAGATTTTGTTGTAAGGAGTTCAGTTCTCTATTAAGTCATCTGGATAACAATTATGAGACTCTCTCATCTTCATTGCCTGGAATTTAGTGGATATTTATCGAATGTAGCTAGTTTCACAAGAAGACGAGGTTTAGAGCATTTCTTAGTCTTTCCAAACGATGAAAACGATTGGAGTACAGTCACGCATCACTTAATGTCCACAGTACATTCTGTGTAGTAGGACGTTAATGATTTGGACCTTGTGCGAACATCATGTTATGTACAGGAAGCCCCAGGATTATGAATGAGTTCTGGTCTCAAATCTGTCTTTAGGTTGAATTTGTATTTAAGTTGGAACAGTTAGATATGGTTTGTATCTCACATCAGTTAGTCAAATATTCGTCTTAGTATATAGTATACCTTTCTATGCAGAAAAAAAAAAATTAAAGAAACATTTCCAGATGCATTAAGCCATATTTAACATAATACAGTAATAGTAACCATTATGTTTTGTTGCATGTTGCAAAGTAGCACTCATTTATTATTATGAACTTCTGACTTTTGATATAATAGGCTTTATGGGGGTGGGACCAGAGATGTATGTGGGTCAGACACAGGGAGAACAGACATTATGTGGTACATGGCCACCTATGTTTTGTTTTGTTTTTCCTCTGATTTGTTGTTCTGATTAGATGAATTTAAAACATTTTTAGAACTCTTTCAAGTAGAAGACAATGATCCTCTCTGGTTAAATATATTGGTTTCTATTTGGCTTATATGCAACTGGTTTTTCTGTTTATGTATACATTTCTCTTTGGGGGTAGATTTACGTGCATACATCTGTGTATCTTGATCATGTTAGAAAACAGCCCTGTGACTGTTATACTTAAAGAACATCAGCTGATTTAGCTCTAAGAAGAGATTGAATTTATGAATGTGATTGTTATCCTGATATGACAGTACTTCAGTGTTGTAGTTATCAGTAAAACTGAGTTTCCATTTCCTTCCAATTTTGTAACATGTCTACCGTAAAAGAAGAGAAAATATTTGAAATTTCTAAAAACTTACTACAAAGAGATTTATTAAAAAGTCCTGCCCTCGTGGATCGTGCTCAGCTTCTGATGTTCTAGGACAGACTTTGTGGTCGATGTTTACTTTATAATTCAAGATAATGGTCCATTGGCCTCGTATTTGCACAAAAAATGAACTTATCTAATTAAATAGTAAAGGCATGTTTTTGTTTGACCACATGGGAGCAGGTACCAATTATAATGCCATCTCCACCATGTCTGTTTGGTTTTCTTGACTTATTTCTCAACGTTTTTCATGTGTATAGTTGTTTCTTAGGGTTCTTTTCTCCATTATTCCCCAGTAGATTTTTGTGAGTCTTTTAAAACATGCTAAGGAGAAACAAGTGAGGAATTTGGCAATGCAGAAGGAAAATTCTTTGATACCAGTTGATTTACATGTGTCTACCTCTATATTTGTAATGAAAAGGACATAATGTCTGTAGAAGGCTTTGGCATCAGATTCCTCTTGCCAATCATCTTTGGTGTTATTTAAAGTCTCATTTCCATGTTCATAATTTGTGAATATCAGTCCATTCTGAAGGGAGCAGTTATATGGACACATCCAGAGTAGCTAAGGAACTGTACAACCTGGTCTTTCTTTTCCTCCCAATGTGTCTGCATCAGAGTTTTCCCCCCTAAATGGTGGTATATGCATACTATTATGTCTCAGGAAACTACCGTGCATGCAGAAGGAACAGAAAGGTAAGTCACTCCAACTGTGGTGAATAAGCACAATCTTCAGAAGGTAAGACTTTTCTGTCATTGACCAGTTCACCGCTGTTACCCAGGGCCAGGCATTATTTTATAGTAAAATTCAACTCAAGTTCTTTCCAGCTTCCTATGACTGTTTCTGACTCTGTCCTGAGGACTGTCATGTTATCTAACTTGGACAATTGGCTGAGATAAAATGAAGAACTGCAACTAGAACTGGGAAAAAAATCATATTTCTTTTGTGGCAATAGCTTCTCATCCTTCAAAAATGTTTTTAAGATATTCAGATTTAGGGAAATACATTTTGGATTCTGTTCTGTAAATATTGTAGTTGAATCTTTTGATGATAGAAGGACTTTTTGGCCCAAATGACTAAAATAATCTTTTTGGTCAGTCCCTTCTTGGAGAGTGGCTGAGGGCTTCCATAACTGGATGACTGCATGGAGCTAGTACATTTTAAATACAGAAAATATAGGGATATATATTGAATTTAGATATGTAAGATGTGACTATAAGTTCAGAGATAAACGTTTAATGCTATCCAACCAAATATATAAAAATAACAGGTTCTTTAACATTGTTACAATGGCTATCCCTGTATGTAATGATTGCCATTCAAAGTATTTGGGAGAAAGTTCTCTTTTGAAATCAACATCAGAGCCAGGTTTTTTTTTTTTTTTTAATCTGGAAAATTGCCTCACTACTGTACATCATAGACTGTTATTTTCTATATCAACCTTGATCCTTAAGGTTGTAATTTGCTAGTTACGTATCTAATGCTTTATGACTAGTGATGTAGCAAACTCTTGGTAGCTAAGCCTACATCAGGAGTTGAGAGTGAACCCTCACGTATGAGCTCGTATGGACCAAGGCTCATGCTTATAACTGCAGTGTGAGAAAACTTCAAAGAAAGAAGAAAGGGGGAAACAAGTTAATGGGAGAGAAAGAAGGATGAAGGAAAGAGAATAAAGAGAAAAGATGGAATTGAATTTTATATGTAACAGCAGAGAGGCCATTAGTAATTGCTTTGGTGACAGTAATCATCTGTCTTTGACGTAAATAACAGAAATGAACAATGCATTTTAAGTGGAAGCTATAGCCACCAAGGAAATTTTGGTTTTACCCAATTCTTGGGAATAGAATGTTATATAGACTGTTTCATATATCTTACATTGTGTTCTTTAAAATGATGTCATAAAACTCTGTGAATTGTTTAGCAACACAATCTAATTGCAAAAGTTTTTTTTTTTCTTTTGTAGGGGCTGGGAGCCCAGTTTTATACAATGTTGCATATACCTAACAAGTATTCTTTAAAATACTTTCCTAACTAAGGACTGTGTGAATTCTTTAGAAATGCAATCTAATTACAAAAGATATTTTTTTAAGGGAGAAGGGGACCCATTTTGGATACTCAATTTTCCATAAGTGTTTCTTGGGGCAGCAGATTGATCTTCAATTAAAATTTTAAAAATCTCAATTTGTAACTGTAAATCCTAAAATAGAATTGTTGACTAGGGGGTTGGGTAGGTTTTGATATTTTTCAAAGTAAAGTGCTCAGTTCATGATGTGTAGAAAATTCATTATATCTGTGTGTGACTTGCAAGGTCCTGCATTTTAAGATCTTCTTTACTTCTAGCACTGGTTCTGTTTCTGGTGACATTCTTTTTGTCTTATCTGTTTGCCATATTTTTTATTTGTTTGGAAGTTAAGGTGTCATCATATAGATATTTCCTTCATTAGCAGAATGCACATTTAAACATTATGTCTCATTTGGTATGAGGAGACCAACGCTGGATGACTTTCACTTTATTCTGTCATTCCTTGTGAGAGTAGAATGGGTTGATGGAGGTACTAAGGTGAATTTCAAGTTCACTCTTGTAAAGATAGCCGTGTACATCTGACACTGTGGTTGTGAAGGTGTGACACACACATCTCTGGCTGCAATTCTGTTTCTCTCTCAGGCTGAATATCATGTGTAAGAATGACTTCCTTGTAGTGGGTAGAAAGCAAGAATCATCTTACTGGAAGATAGTATTTGGTTTGCTAATTGCCTTGTTGGTGTTGCTGGTATGTGCCATTGAGTGGATTCTGATTCATAGCACCCAGTGCACAACAGAAGGGGCCATTGCCCCATCCTGCACTATCCTCACGATCGTTGCTATGTTTGAGCCCATAGTCACTGCCATTGCGTCAGTCCATCTCATTGAGGGTCTTCCTTTTTTTCACTTACCCTCTACTTCACCAAGCATGATGTTCTTCTCCAGAGACCGTTCCCTCCTGATAACATAACCAAACTATTGAGACAAATTCTCATTATTCTGGCCTCTAAGGAGCATTTGGCTGTACTTCTTCCAGGATAGATTTGTTTGTTTTTCGGGCAGTCTATGGTATACTCAATATTCTTCACCAACACCACTAATTGCCTTACATAGTTTTAGGACATAACCTTGTACTATTTCATGTAATGGTTAAATCATGGGTAGTAAATGGTAAAATCATTCTTTACTTTAGGTTTGCTTTTAGTGCCTTTTTGAAACTTAACCCTCCCAAATGCAACTTTGAGTTAATGTAGTATTTATTCAATACGATCTACAAAAAGACAGATAAATAACATATTCCAAAGATGATCTGCAGTACCTCTGAAAAGTCTGAAACATAGACTAGCGGGCTGACCTCTCAGATGAATATCACCTGAAGGCCAACTTAACGGCATGTATGACATTTAAAGAATAACCACAACAAAGGAAACTCTAAAGGGTTCTTATAGGAAAATTCTTATTGACTGTTGTGATCTTATTGATATTTTAGATTAGGACTGAGGACCCGGACAATGCCGGCACGTCATAGTCATTACACAAGGTCAGTCCGGCATCTGTTCTTGTTGTGTGGCAGCTACTACCATTGACAACCTGCTGTTGAATTCCTCTCTTTCTGCACGTCACGTGATGCCGTGCAGAAACTCACCTCACATGCCCAC